ATAAATTTTAACAAACTGATGGGGCGCCTGGGTGTTTTTGCAGATGAGTATGTGTCTTCCTCGCGCTCTCTTGGCCTCCCCATCGCTGCCTCTTCCGAGGGACACCGGCTCCCTAGCCAGGGCCCAGCAGCATCCTCAGTGTCCGGGGCCCCCGCCCAGCCCCCTCTGCACCTGCCAACCAAGCTGGTGATTCGGCACGGTGGGGCGGGGGGCTCCCCTTCGGTGACCTGGGCACGGGCGCCCTCCTCCTCCTCCTCCTCCTCCTCCTCCTCGGCCGCCTCTTCCCTGGACGCCGATGAGGACGGCCCCATGCCCTCCCGCAACCGCCCTCCCATCAAGACCTACGAGGCCCGTAGCCGCATCGGCCTCAAGCTCAAGATCAAGCAGGAAGCTGGGCTCAGCAAGGTTGTCCACAACACCGCCCTGGACCCTGTGCACCAGCCCCCGCCCCCTGCGGCCCTCAAGGCAGCAGAGCCCCCGCCCCGGCCCCCGCCGCCACCGCCACCCCCGGCCACGGGCCAGATGAACGGCACAGTGGACCACCCGCCGCCCGCCGCCCCTGACCGCAAGCCCACGGCCCTGGCCCCCCACTGCCCCCGGCTGCCCCTGCGGAAGACATACCGCGAGAACGTGGAGGCCCTGGGCGGCGGGGCCGGGGAGGGGGCCGGGAGCGGCAGAGCCCGGGGCAGCAGTCCGGCGCCACTGCCCACCAAAGTGGACGAGGCCACGAGCGGGCTCATCCGCGAGCTGGCCGCGGTGGAGGACGAGCTGTACCAGCGCGTGCTGAAGGGGGCCCCCCCGGAGCCCGCGGCCAGCGCCGGGCAGGGCAGCGGCAGCAGGGACCCCGGCTGGGAGGCGCCCCCCGCCAAGCGGCGCAAGTCCGAGTCGCCCGACGTGGACCAGGCCAGCTTCTCCAGCGACAGTCCGCAGGACGACACGCTCACGGAACACCTCCAGAGCGCCATCGACAGCATCCTGAACCTCCAGCAGGCCCCGGGGCGGACACCTGCACCCCCGTACCCCCACGCCGCCCCGACGGCCGTCCCGCCTGCCTCCCCGTCGCCCCTGCACAGGCCAGAGGCCTACCCGCCCTCCAGTCACAACGGTGGCCTCGGCGCCAGGACGTTGAACAGATAACACCGGGCTGGTCTTCGCTTCCCTGGCCCCTGTCTTGCGCATGCGCGGACGCCGGCGGCGGCGGCGGCGGCGGCGGCGGCGGCGGCGGCGGGGGGCGGACGGGCGCCTGACCTCAGCCTCCTGGGGGACACGAGCCGGGGATCCCCTGACCGGTTTTTCTTGCCTAAGTTATTTGAGTCACAAAGGCCTCCTCCCCCACTTCCTGCTTCAGCCGGGTTGTTGGGTGGGGGTTGTGGATTGAGGGGAGGGGGCTGTAATGTAAAATGTCCCCCTGCCAAAGGTGGGGGTAATCCCGGTGTGTCATTTCCTATTTCTTCCCGCTTCCTGCCACACTCCGCCCCTCCGTGGGGGAGGGAAGGGGGGGACACGTGTGTGTTTGCCAGGGATGGAGGTACCCTGGTCGTACCCACTGCTCACGCGTGTCCCGGTACTGGGCTTGTCCGTGTGGCCGCACAGATCCCCGCGTCGAGGGCGCTCAAAGCCGCGAGGGTCCTTCGCGAGCCTCGCTCAGCCTCTCCCTACCGCCCCCCACAGGCTGTAAAAGGAAACGCAGGGAAGGGCGGGCGTCAGCCAGCGTCCCGGACCCCCACCTCGGAGGGCTGTGCCCGCGGGCACCTGTGTCTCATCCATGTGTGTGCGTCCAGCTCCGCGTCCCGTGTCCCTGTGTGTGTGCTCGAGTGAGCGAGAGAGAGAGAGAGAGAGTTCGAACCCTCCCGCCCCTCGACTGAAATCCGAACACCTCCAAAACAGGAAACCCGGGTCTTCCTCCCCACCCCTCCATCCCTCCCCAGCCAGTCTTCCCTCTGTTCTTCCTGCCGCCAGCCACCCGCGCCAGATTTTGAAATCTCGGAGACAAAACTAGTACTGTAAGATAAATTTTTTTGTACTGTATTTATTGTGTATAACGATTTTTTTAAAGGAGAATTCTGTACATTTAGAACTCTTGTAAATTAAAAACTGATCCTTTTTTTAAAACTGTACTGACTCCGTCTCGGCCCCATTGCTTTTGGGTCCTTGGGAGGGGGGTGTTGTTGGAAGTCTGGGGGTTGGGTCCAGACCTGGGGGGGGGGAGGGATTGTGAGGGTTCATTGCACATATTATTTGTTGAATACCTATTAGGGGTGCCAGGCCCTGTTCTGGGCACAGGGGTGCAGCTGAACACGGCAGGCAGAAGTCTCTACCCCTGGGGGGTGGGGGCGGCTGACCTGTTAGTGGAGAAACCAGATGGAAAACAGCTAAACCAAACGGGGGGGTTCTTACCATTCCCGCATAAGGTTCTGTGGTCTCCTGGAACACGGAATTCGGGAATACTGAACTACCGCTCCTGGCGGAAATACACGGTTAGCTTCCTACAAACCTCCCATCACAACATTTTTGTATGTTATTTCATACATAACCTTGTGTGTATTTCCATAAAGACACCTTATTAATATATATTCTTGATTTGTGCACATCGGGCTCATGGCCAACAACACTATAACTCACGCCTGAACGAAGCTTGTCTAACACGTATGTTTTTTTTAATAAAGATTTTATTTATTTGTCAGAGCGAGAGAGAGCGAGCTCACGAGCAGGGGGAGAGGCAGGCAGAGCAGTCAGAGAGAGAAGCAGACTCCCCTCTGAACAAAGAGCCCGATGTGGGACTAGGTCCCCGGACACCAGGATCATGACCTGAGCCGAAGAAGGCAGACGCTTAACTGACCGAGCCACCCAGGCGTTCCTAACACATATGTTCTATACAAGGCACATCCCAGCCTTCTTCCCCTTCGGCACCCTGGACAGCATTTCAGCACTAGGGCATTTTAAACAGTAAAGTCACCAACAAAAGCACAAAAATGTGAAAACATGGCATGAAACAGACCTCGAAAAGGATGCTTGTCGGGTATGAGAACCGAAACCAGAGGGCAGAGCGTTGCTTGTTCAACTTGAGTTGGAAACATGCACGTTGGGTGACCCAGATTTTTTGCCGCGCTGCACAAGTCTGTGAAGGTGCTTTGAGTTTGGGGGTTACAAATAAATTTTAACAAACTGATGGGGCGCCTGGGTGGCTCAGTCCTTAAGCATCTGCCTTCGGCTCAGGTCATGATCCCAGGGTCCTGGGATCGAGCCCCGCATCGGGCTCCCTGCTCCGCGGGAAGCCTGCTTCTCCCTCTCCCACTCCCCCTGCTTGTGTTCCCTCTCTCGCTGTGTCTCTCTCTGTCAAATACATAAATAAAATCTTAAAAAAAACAAAAAAACAAAAAACAAGCAGATGAATTCACAGATAGGGCATCCATAAAGAATGAGGATCGCCTGTAAATGTGAAGAGCGTCGGATGGAGAGAGGAAGAGCCATCAAGCAGGCTGTTCCCTGCGGATGCCATAGGAAATGGGTGGCTTCAAAGGACAGATTTGGGGTGCCTGTGTGGCTCAGTCGGTTAAGCCACCGACTCTAGGTTTCAGCTTGGGTCGTGATCTCATGGTCGTGAGATCAAGCCCCATGTTGGACCCTGTGCTCAGCGTGGAGTGTTGAGATTCTCTCCCTCTCCCCTTCCTGCTCATGCACCTGCTCGCTCTCTCTCTCTCTAAAGTAAATAAATCTTAGAAAAAGAAGAACAGAGATTTATTCTTTCTCGTTCTGGAGGCTGGACAGCCCATACCAAGGTACCAGCAGCACGATGCTCCCCCTAGAAACTCTGCAGGGGGATCCTCCCTTGACTTTCCACTTTCTGGGTGTTCCTGGTCCTGTGGCTACATCTTTTTCGGCGTTGGTATCTACTCTTAAAAGGAGACCATATTGGATAATAGCCTACCCTACTCCAGTATGATCTCATCTTCACTTGTTTACATCTGCCAAGATCCTCTTTCCAAATAAGATCACATTCACAGGTGCAGGGGGTTAGGACATATGCGTATCTCCTCAGATGGGGGTAGGGGGGTAGAGGAATGGACAAGGCTCTAGTCCCAAACTAGGATGCCTTTGCGTGAACTAGAAAGCAGTGCCCCTTTCTTCCAGGCACTGAGTTTTGAAGGGCAGAGTGTGAGCTGGATTCCAGCCGCCTCTCACCCATTCAGTGAGTGCTTTGTGCAGTGAACAACATGTGTAACTGCACATTAAGGTGTCCGGGATCGGGTGGGAAGGGGAGACTTCTTTGAGGAGGTGACATTTGAGCAGAGACCTACATGAAATGAGAGAGGGAGCCACAGGGAGTTCTGGCGGCGGGGGGGGGGAGGCATCTGAGGCAAGAGCACGTCTGGAGTGTTGCGGGACAGCAAGGAGGCCCATGTGGCTGGAAGCTGGGGGGTGGGAGGAGGAGGGAGGGAACGAGAGGTGAAGTCAGAGGGAACAAAGCTGGCCTGTGGTGTAGGACCCTGTGCTTCATGGTGATTTTACTGACCTATGGCGGAAAGAATAAATCTCTGTTCTTCTTTTTCTAAGATTTATTTATTTACTTTAGAGAGAGAGAGAGAGAGCAGGTGCATGAGCAGGAAGGGGAGAGGGAGAGAATCTCAAGACTCCCCGCTGAGCACAGGGTCCAACTTGGGGCTTGATCTCACGACTTTGAGATCACGACCCTTAGAACGCGAAGGTTCTAAGCCGAGGGCTAAGCTGACTTGGGTTTCCTGAGCGCCCTCTGGCGGCCGCGTGGGGAACGGATGGGGCAAGTGCGGACCCGGAGCCCAAACAAGAGGCCACTGCTAAGGTCCAGGTGCCCGGTGACGCGGCTGGACCAGGGTGATGTTCCAGTTTCTCTGCAGGCCCTGGGGGTGTTTGTGGCGGGGAAGCTGGTATGTAGGGCCACGGAGAGAGAGACGGTCCCCCTTCCTAGCTGTATACCTACTTCCCCACGTGCAAAACGCAGTCCTTAACATCTTCGGATCCCCGAGCGCTCCGGGGAGACCGCACGTGGCTGAGCCAAAAAGTTTGCGGGTGATTTCCGCGGGCTTGGGGCCTTGGTTCTGGAAGGTTGACTGCATGCAGCCCCAGCAGAGAATCAGCGATGACTAACTATGGAACACTTACCATGGGCACTGTTTCAAGCCCTTCACCCAGGATGTTTTATCTGGTCCTCACAGAAGCCCCGGTATGGGGATTGATAGCCCCATCTTGCGGATGGAGAAACTGAGGCCGCGCGGCAGTCAGTGGCAGGCTGGGCTGCACCCCAGGCGGTCTGGCTGCAAGCCCACGATCTTGGCCTCTGCACACCCAGCTTCCAGGGAAGTGGGGGGCGGGGCGGGCAACAGCAAGGCCTTTCCCAGAGGGCAGTGCGGGAGCCAGAGGCTCTCCCCTCCCCCCACCCCGTGCTGGGGAGGAGACCAAAACTGGGGACCAAACTTCATAGACCGCTGCTCCCAGATCCTAGAACCAGCCCGGTGGGTGCGTGTGGCGTCTCCTCTTTCCTGGCTGAGGCATCTGGGGAAAAAAGAGTCGCCTGGGCACAGAGCAGGATTGGAACCCTAGACTGACCGCGGCCGAAGTTCATCCCTAACTTCTGGCTGGCCACCTGCTCCATCTGTTTGGTTTTTTTTCCTTCTTTAATTGTGATAAAATATACATAACATAAAACTGACTGCTTTAACCATTTCTGAGTATAGTGCTCAGTGACGTTCAGTACCTTCCTTCACATTGTGCAAACAACACCACCGGCTCTCCTCTGAACTTGAAGCTCTAACCCCTTACACGCTAACTCCCACTCCTCAAGCCCAGCCCACCACCTTCTGTCGGGATGGATCCCACTGCTCTCAGCACCTCCAGAGTGGGCTCATACAGTATCTGTTCTCTTGTGACGGACTTATTTCACTTGGCATGACGTCTCCAAGATTCATTCATGTTGTAGAATGTGCCAGAATTTCTCCACCCGGTTTTGACAACTGGGGAGGGAGAGAGGTAGGGGGAAAATTTTTTTTTTTTTTTTTTTTTTTTTTTTTTGTGAGCTTGTGCCATGGGGAGAGGGCTCCCGAGGCTGTAAGGGCACCGAGAGACTTGTCAGACGGAGACTTCCCGATTCAGAGATCAGCGACACAGCAAGACAAGACGGTAGCCCCAGTAACTGAGAGCTCAAAGCATGTTTAATGAGGCGGCGGCGTCCAGGGCGCCTGGGGGGGCTCAGTCGGTTAAGTGTCTGCCTTTGGCTCAGGTCATGATCTCAGGGTCCTGGGATTGAGCCCCGAGTTGGACTCCCTGATCAGCGGGGAGTCTGTTTCTCCCTCTCCCTCTGCCCCTTCTCCCTGCTCAATCTCTCTCTTTCTCTCTCTCAAATAAATAAATAAAATCTTATTAAGAATAAAAATAAAATGAGGCAGGGCAGGATGACAAGGGGACCAATTATCCTGAAATCCAGCTATCGGTGTATTTAAAGCCCCCCCACGAATCTGTGACACAGTAATAAGGGCTCTTGTATTAAGACACTAATTAGAAAGAGCTAACGGTGGGTCTAATCAGTGGTGAGTAAACAATCACTGGAAATCCCCAAAACAACCACAATGCGGTGAAAACAACCACATTCCCCTTGTGGCAATAATACAGGTCCCGCTGATGTCACTGTGTTTTGTTAGTTCACGGTTGACAGAAACCGTGAAATCTCAGCGAACGATCCAGATATCATGTTTTTCTCCATGCCCAAGTTCACGGACCCTCTCAGATCTCATCTGAGCACAACGCATTGGGCTGAGCAGCCCCGGGGATGCCTCCGAGGGGGAAGGGAGATGCCCCATGTCAAGGTTTCAGAAGAGGACCTGGCTCCTAGCTGTAATAATGTTAGTCACCACTAAGCCCCAGGCCTGTTATTAAATATATATAATATATACACCATTATACATTATATGTGATCATGTATTATAATTATATAATTATGCATAAAATGTATTATATTCATACACCTCTTTATAGAATACAGTTGACCCTTTTTTTTTCTCAAGATTTTATTTATTCATTTGACAGATAGAGACATAGCGAGAGACAGGGAACACAAGCAGGGGGAGCGGGAGAGGGAGAAGCAGGCTTCCCGCTGAGCAGGGAGCCCGACGCGGGGCTCGATCCCAG